TAAAGGTTTAATATTTTTCATGCATGTATAATTTAATGTCATTTTAAAGAAATGTATATAGGTTTGTGACATCTGATGATGATAGTACATTGTGTAAAATAAGGCATGGAGATAGAGTTTGATACATTTTAATGATATTGATGCGTGAATATTTATTTAAAATTAAGTGTAAAGAGTAAGAGTTTGGATATATTTCTACCCATGAGTGAACGAAGTGATTTTTCCAGTTTTACTCGGAGATAAGTCTCAATACGAACAAAAAGAAGAAAGAATGGGTGTGTTTGGTAGGAAGAAAAATGTTTTCTACGGAAAATGAGTTCTTAGTAAATGTTTTCTTGGAAAACACGTCGGTTTCTTACTTATTTTTTTATTTTTTGTAAATAAGTAAGAAAATATTATCCATTTATATGTTATATTAGCAAAACACTATGGTTGCGGGATGTGAAGGGTAAGGGGGTGGGGTTGAGGGGAAATGGGCGGGGATGAGAAAAAAAACTTGGGGTGTCACTTATACATTATTTATTCTCACCTATAGCTAGGGCGGATAAATGGACTCTCCTAACGACTATCAAAACTCTTGGAAATACTTAGTTCCCGTAATATCATTGAAGAAATGAAATTCTACTCTTATCCGTAGATAACTCAAGGTTTAAGTCACAAAACAAAGTTAAAATGTTTGTAAAAGACTTTTGAAAAACTTTATGAACTTCTTTTGACTTGATTCTTAACTTCATAACTTTCTTTGAATTGAATTATGGAATCAAGGTTCGTGATTTCATGTTTGTGGATGATTTCATAATGTTTGGACGTACCTTAGACTGTTGGATTTAACTAAGAATCATAGGTACGTTGTTAAGGAAGTAGTACGAAAAGATAGGGGAAAATGAAAAAAACTGGCGTCCCAGGCGCTCTGAGAGGCGCGGGGGGGCAAAGGATAAAATTAGACATTGAATTAGGGCGCTCAAGCTCACGCGGCACCCAGAGGTCAGAATTCAAAGTCCATTTTGCAGCGCTCTAGCTAGGGCGGCGCCCCAAGACCCTGCCCAGGTGAGTTTCAACTTTTCTGTCTCATTTTTTATCTCTAAAATCCCTATAACTTGGTTTCCCCAAATACTTAGAATCAACTATACCATCAAATACATTATAATCTACTCAAAATCACACCTTAAATCATGAATCAAACTCAAATATATTAACAACAAGAACCTTAAAGTTTTAATTAAACTAAAATCAAGAACGCTAGGTGATCTCACATACTTTGAAGGGATCACTCCTTGACGACATCAAGAAACAAACCCCCAACAAATCGGCTAATCTTGAATTTTCTTCTTTTTTCACCTTTTTTTCTCTTTTCTCCAAGCCGTAGCGTAAATTTCCGATTTTCTAAACTAATCTAATTCTTATTAGACCCCAAATAAACTCCTAAAAATGAATTAATATAATTGGGTAAGGAAAAAAACTAGTGTTCCAAAATCCGAGTTAGACTTTCCATATTTCAACATCCCAACTTCAAATAGGCATATCTAACTCATACGAACTTGGAATCGCGCAAACTCTCCGTAATGTAAAGATAATTCCAAGATATTTCCTACGGTATCTAGAAACATTTGTAACTCATCCTAATCTAGGAGTTATGGACGTTTGAAGTTGACAAAAAAACCAAACTTAGCTACTTAACAAATTTCTAGATTTTCCCTTCTTTCCTAAAATGACTATTTTCAATTTTAACCCTTTCTAGTTCTTGCAATTAGCGAGATGTTACAATATCTCCCCTTTGGGAACATTCATCCTTGAATGAGATTAATCTTACTAGGCTAAGGGTGTAACATCTAACATTCAGCTAAAACACCCAGCAAGCAATGCAAATACAACATGCCAACATATAAAAAAAATAGTACTAAGAAGAGAATTAGTACATTAGTCTTGAATTTCACCGGGTCCAAAAAGACGTGGATATCTCTTCTTCATATATTCCTTAGCTTCCCAAGTATCTTATTCAACAAATTGGTTCCTCCAAAGAACTTTGAATGATGTCACCTCTTTTGTTTTCAACTTGAGATTTGGCGATCGAAAATCTAAACTATAATCTCCTCATAAGATAAGTTATCCTTGATCCCAATATTTTACGTTGGTATCATAATTGAAGGATATACCATGCATTTCTTTGACATGGAGATGTTAAATACTGAATGAACCGCGACTAACTCTTGTGGTAGCTCAAACTCATTAGCTACAATACCAACCCTTTTTTATATTCTATAAGGATCTTAGCTTCTTCTTCTTACCAAATCTCATAACATCCCTTAATGGGTAAAACTTTCCAATATACCCAATCATCTACTTCAAACTCTAAATCACCTCTCCTAACGTCAATTTATGATTTTAGACGACTCTGCGCCATTTTTAACCTTTGTTAAATCACTTTCACGTTCTCCATAGATTGATGAATTAAATTTGGTCCTATCAACTTTGTTTCACAAACTTCAAATCATCCAATAAGAGATCTGTGTCTTCTCCCATAAAGAGCTTCATAAGGATCCATTTGGATGTTAGAGTGATAGTTATTGTTGTAATAAAATTCAACAAGAGGTAGGTGATCATCCTGATTACCTCAGAAATCAATCACAAAGGCCCTTAACATGTTTTATAAAGTCTCAATGGTACGCTATGATTTCCCATACGTCTGAGGGTGAAAGGCAGTATTTAAGTTCACCTTTGAAACAAAGCTTTTTTGGAATGATTTCCAAAACTGTGCCGTAAATTGTGCACCGCTGTCTCAAATAATGGAGACTGAAAGCCCATCAAGTCTTATCACCTCTTGAATATACAACTTAACATAATCTTATGCTGAATTGGGTAGTCTTTAGCGGCAAAAAGTGGGCTGACTTTGTCAATTTATCGACAATCACCAAATATAATCATGCTGCCTGCGAGACCTTAGTAAAACTATGATGAAATCCATGTTTATCCTCTCCCAGTTCCATTCCAGAAGTTCTACATTTTGAGACAAACCACCGGGACCTTCATGTCCTACTTTAACTTGTTGGGAATTCGTACACTTAGCAACAAACTCTGAAATGTCCTTCTTCATATTACTCCACCAATAAACCTCTCTCAATTCATGATACATTTATGGAACCCGGATTAATGGAATATCTAGAGTTATGGGCTTCCTCCATGATCCTTTCTTAGATTTCATCCACCCTTGGTACACACAATCTACCTTGATACCTCAATACAACATCTTCCCCTTGTCAAAATCCATTAGTTTTTACTTATTATCATTTGCCTTTAATTCAAGAAAAATAATGTCTTGATTTTGCTTCTCTTTTACTTCTGACACTAATGATGATTCAACCCATTCATCACCACTACTAATCCTTATGTAGAATCCATTAGGTGAACTCCCAGGTGTGCAATTCTATGCACATCCTTTGCTAGTTCTTTCTTATCTTACTCAAAATGGGAGGTACTACCCATCGACAACCTACTCAAGGCATTATCAACAACGTTAGCCTTACATAGGTGGTAAAAAATACTCATTCCATAATCCTTGAGTAATCCCAACCATTAACTTGTCTAAGATTAAGCTCTTTTTGAGTAAACACATGCTAAAGACCCTTGTTATCGGTGAACACATATATATGAAAGCCATAAATGTAATGGTGCTATATTCTCAAAGAAAAAACTACGACAGTCAACTTTAGATCATGGGTTGGGTAGTTTCTCTCATGAACCTTCAACTGTCTGGAGGCATAAGCTATAACTTTTCCATTTTGCATTAACACACAACCCAAACCAACACTAGACATATCACAATAAACAACAAAGTATACCTTCTAGTAAGTTCAATACTGGTGCAATAGTTGACCTCTTTTTCAATTCCTGAAAACTTTTCTTATAAGTTTCATACCATTAAAACTTAACTGTCGTTTGAGTCAACTTAATCAAAAGGGATGAAATAGACAAGAACCCCTCTAATAACCTTCTATAATAGACACTCAAACCCAAGAAGCTCCTGATATCAATTGGAGATGTCGGTCAAGACCAATTTTGCATTGCCTCTTTTTTCTGAGTATCAACTTTAATTCCCTCTCCAAACACAATGTGGCCTAACAGACTCAAGCCAGACCTCACATTTAGAGAACTTAGCATACAACTCTCTATCTTTTAAAGTCTAGAGAACTATTTAAGATGACTAGCATGATTTTCTTCATTCCTCAAATAGATTAGTATGTCATCAATGAATACGATAACAAACATATCTAAATAAGGCTTGAATACTCTATTCATAAGGTCCGTGAATGTTGCACGCACATTGGTCAAACAAATGGCATAACTAAGAATTCATAATGACCATAACAGGTTCTCAATGTTGTGTTTGGAATATCACATTCCCTTACTCTTAATTAATGGTAGCCAGATCTAAGGTAGATAAATAGGTGGCCCCTGAAGTTGGTCGAAAACATCATCAATCCTTGGGAGAGAATATTTTTTTCTTGATGGTAACCTTATTCAACTGATGGTAATCTATACACATCCTAAGATAATCATCCTTCTTTCTCACAAATAAAACCAAAATGCCCTAGGTGAGACACCTGGTTAAATAAAGCCCTTATCCATGAGATCTTTCAATTGTTCTTTTAGCTTTTTAACTCTGTTGGTGTCGTTCAATATGGAAGAGCAGACATATGGTGAGTATGTGAAAGAATATTTGTATTGAAGTATACTCTCTCTTAATAAGCACTCTGATAAGATCATCTAGAAAGACTTCTGGAAACTCTTTTACTACTGAAACTGACTGAATAAGAGGTATCTCAATACTAGAGTCATTAACTGGAACTAAGTGATAGAAACACTCCTTGGAAACTAATGTTCTTGCCTTTAAGGTACAAAATAAAATGATCCTTAGGCGCGAAATACTTTTCCACTCCAAGACTGGATCATCATAAACTCAAACTTTACAACTCGAGTTCTATAATCAAGTGACAGGCATGAAGCTAGTCCATACCAAGAATGACATTAAAATCTACCATGTCTAATCTGATTAAATTAGCCATGGTGTCCTTGTGATTGATGGAAATGACACAATCTCTATATACTTGTTTAGCTGGAGTAGACTCCCTAACAGGTGTAGAAACACAAAAGGGTTCAGAAAGTTTCTCGGGAAGAACATCAAAATTATTTGCAATATAAGGAGCCACAAAAGATAAACTTTCTCTTCGGTCTAGAAAAGCATACACATCAAGATTAAAGACTTTGATCAGAACAGTGAAAACATATGGATGATTCTCTTGCTCTTGACAACTAGTGATCGCATAAAGACGGTTTTCTCTTCCTCCAGTATCGGAAGTAGCTCCTCTAAGTTCAACCCTGTCTGGTGGATAAATTGATTAAAATTGGGCTTTATTGCCATGATGCCCATTACCTTGTCAGTTATTAGGCCACTCTTTCATGAAGTGATCCTCTTCTCCACACTTGAAACAACCTGTGGATCCATCTAGATATTTACCTAGGTGGATCCTACCACACTTAGCAAATGAAGGAGACTAGTTAATTTTTTATGCCACACTACCCTGAGACTCTATAGGTCTTACTTTGAATTGTTGTGAATTCTAATTATTATACTGACCTTTGTTTCTAGGTGCAGGTGAACAAGAAGATAATGGATCAGGTCCCTTTTTCTTTTGTTGGAAAGAGGATTGGTTCACGTTATTTCTTTGTTGCCCGGACTCACTCCCTGTCTTCGCTTTCTTTCTTCTGAACTCCTCTAGATCACTGACCTTCTCTTCCTCAACCTACTGCACATAGACCATCAACCTTGATTTAGCCATTTCACTTATTACTTACCTTCCTTACTCGACAAACGATACAGCCCAGTAACAAACAAACTCATTCTACTCCTTCTATCCATAACCACTCTGGAGCCTAAAGTGATTGTTGGGTGAGCTTCAATCCATACTCATGAACACTTAGTGAATCTTGCTTAAGAGTAAGAAACCCTCGTACCTTGGCCTCTTTCAGTTCTCGAGGAAATAAAAGCCCCAAGAAGGCCTCCTCAAAACAAGCCTAACTCACATGTGATTCTCTCTCAGGTCTACCCTCCTTCCATTGTCAAACCAAGTTCTAGCAACATTCTTAAGTTGATATGCAACTAGTTCTACTCGCTCAGCATTGGCAACGTGCATAACCTCAAATACCTTCTGTAGTGCCTCAACAAAACCCTCCAATTTCTCAATAGTGCTTGAGCTAGTGAAACTTGGAGGATTCATCCTCAAGAACTCTAACATCCTTAAAGTATTAGTCACTTCTTTTCTAGATCCTCAGTGTTTCCCAGGTTAGTTAGTCACATCTTGGCTTAACATTTGAATCACTTCCCTAGGTGCACCAATCGTGAATTCTCCTTGGGGTTGAATTTAAGGTGCATTAGGTACCCCTTGCTCCTTAACGTTCCTCCTAGGAGGACCTCGAATAGCTCTTCGCGGAGGCATGATTAACTGAAAGATATAGAAAAGAATGAACTAGAAGAAACTTTTTATAGATCAAACTCTAATGCACAAAATGAGTTTTAAAGAATTGAGATAATTTAGTAAGTGTTACAACCTCCCAATTAGAGATATGGAACGCTTCACACTGATAGGTAGGAATCGACAGACACGACTTCATACACTCCCAAGCTTGTCACTCCCTAAGCCTATACCCTAGGCGAAATTGACACTCGAGAACCGTTGATGTGCCCCAAGAGAATCCTTAGACTAGTTTACTTACTCGGTGGAAGTCTCTAAGCATTATTGCAATGATCAAATGCATTTCTACTCAACTGTTTAGTAAAATTACTCAGAACGTTCAAGTTCAACTATTCAACTTGGCCAAAATAGAAAGTCAAGTCTTAATATATAAAACAAAAATGTAAAGATACCCCAATTACTAACAGACTATGAAGACTCTAAAACAAGGAGGGATGTCATGACAAGACCCCCGATCATCCTAATAACTAAAGTACTAAAGCAAATGATAAAAGTATCCCTCCGAAAAGCAAGAAGGCTCACCAATTGACTCTGTTGTGCTCAACTGGATCAATCAGGCGCTGGATACTGATCTTGGTTACCTGTGTCTACATCATGAAACGATGTAGGCAAAATGACATCAATACATTGAATATACGGTTATGCAAGGGGAATAATCAAACATAATGTAATCTTTAAAATAATATAAAAGGAACACTTACCTTGGCTTTATTCAACTCATGAATAACTTATCTCTATATAAAGAAACAATACACATGCAATATATGGAAAGCTTTTAAAATAGTTGAAACAACTAAGTTCATAAAAAATGTAATAGCAACTCAACTTACTCATTTAATAAAGTAATATAACTTATGTGGGAGTTTCTCTAACAGACAATCACCACTATAAACCTAAGTTAGTGATACAACGTCTTGCCCGTGAAGCAAAAATTATCCTATACTTTTTCTTTATATAGAATGCCTTAACTAAGTGGGTCCACTAGTCTACACTTAAAAGCACTAAGGAATCATCTAAAAAGTATGCCCATTATAGATACATGGTTTATGGAGACTTGAGTTATTATGAATTCACGTCCCCATATCGATGCTCAATACTACTCCAAAAATTTACTTCGTTCAAAAGTTTTAAAAACAAAACTCTTTCTTTGGTTTGAGAAAATTATTCAAAAAGTAGCTTAAAGCACTCTTGGAAATAGGTGTTTCTGTTTCTTGTTCAAATGTGAAAATAGTTTAAACTCTTGGGACTACTTAGTTCCCGCAATATCTTTGAATAAATGAACATTTACTCTTATCCTTAGAAAAATCAAGGCTTAAGTCTAAATACAAAGTTAAAATGTTTGTAAAAGACTTTTGAAAAACTTTATGAACTTCTATTGACTTGATTCTTAACTTCTTAACTTGATTGTTAACTTTCCTTGAATTGAATTATGGGTTCAAGGTTCATGATCTCATGTTTATGGATGACTTCATAATGTTTAGAAGCAGTGTTGCAATAAACTAAAAAAATATAGGTATGTTGCTAAGGAACTAGTACAAAAAGATAGGGGAAGAATGGGAAGAACTGGCGGCCTTGACGCTATTAGAGGTGCGGTGCACCAGAGGGTAAAATTTAGAGACTGGCTTGGGTCTCTCTGGATGGCCCGACGCCCTAGAGGTCAAAATTTAGAGTCCATATTAGGGGCTCTATCTAGGGCGGCTCCCCAGCCCCTACCCTGGTGAGTTTCGACTTTTCTAGCAAATTTTTCATCTCCAAACCACCTATTTCAACTTGGTTCTTTCTGTAATCACTTAGAATCAAATATAACATAAAATACATCAGAATCTACTCGAAATCACACCTAAAATCATTAATCAAACTCAAGAAACTTCAACAACAAGAACCCACGAGACTTCAATCGAACTAACATCAAGAACATATATGATTTACTATCAAAACTATGTAACTTCACTGAATTGGATCATGATTGCACGTGGATGAACTAACCCAACACTATGTTATCTCTCATACCTCATAGGTATCACCCCTTGACAAAATACACTCGCAAACCTCCAAGAATCGACGAATCTTGAACTTTCTTTTGTTTTCTCTTCTTTTCTATTTCTCCAAGACCTAGCGTAAATTTCCAATTTTATAAATTGATATAATTCTAACTAAAACCTGAATAAACTCCTAAAATGAATTAAAATAATTGGGTTAGAAAATACTAAAATACCCTACAAAAATCAGATTTAGACTTCCTTATTGAAAAACCCAACTTCAAATGGGCATATCTCACTCATACAAACTCGAAGTTGCGCAAACCCGATAGTGTTTGAAATATATTTCCAAGATCATTCCTACCGTATCTGTAAGCACAGCTAACTCATCCTAATCTAGTATTTATGGTCGTTTCAAGATGACCAAAACCCCAACATAACATAACTTAACAAATTTCCAGATTTTCCCTTCTTTCCTAAAATGACTATTTCCAATTCTAACCCTATGACTATTTCCAATTCTAACACTTTATAGTTCTTTCAATTAGATAGATTATAGAATTGGTATCAAGGATATTTTATCCAATGAGGAGATTCTTATTCATATTCTAGATCGCAAATGCTCACAAATTGAAAACCAAAGAGGTAGCATTAGTCAAGGTTCTGTGGAGGAATCAGTTTGTTGAGGAACCTACTTGGAAAGTTGAGGAGGATATGCATAAGAGATAGCCACATCTCTTTGAGTTTGGAGAAATTCCAACTTAAGCTACTAATCCTTTTCTTGACATTTATTTAAGTTGAAATGTTGTGTTACTTTGCATATTGAGTGTTTGAGTTGGGTGTTAGAATTTACCATCCTTAATCTATTTAGACTAATCTAATTCGAGGACGAATTTTCTCAAGGGGGAATATTTTGAAACCTCGGGTTTTCTTAAAGAACTAGAATTATAAAGAAACTAAATTGGGAACAACAAAATCTGAAATTTTGCAAAGTTATATTAAGCATGAGTTTTGAATCAACTTCAAACTATCATAACTTACAGTACAAGATATGTTAGGTGGCTCATAAGATACCAAATATCTTGGCATCCTTTTTCTAATGACACCAAGTTTGGTAATTTTTGAACGCGTACAAGGAAGATATACCATTTTAAAGTCGGGTTCTTTAGTTAAGGAAAGTTACTCGGATTTAAGAGGGGTATTGGTCTTTTTCTTATGAAATTAGATTAAAATAAAATTTGGTAATAGATGGGTCTAAATTGATTTGGTTCAGTTTTATAAATCCTAATTTACGCTAGGGTTTTGAGAGAAATTCAAGAAGAGGAAAAAAGGAAAAAGCTAAGCGTTTCTCAAGTTCTTGAGGATTTTGTTGCGGATTTTACCAAGTGTTTGATCCCTAAGGGGTATTAGAGTTTACATAGTGTTGGGTTCCCTCACCCATGAACCAATTATGATTAATTCAGCATAATTTTGTTTTTGCAAGCAAAGGATTTGAGTTCTTGATGAATTTTATTGAAGTTTCTTTCATAATCTTGAATATTGAGGCTTTGATGAATTCTTTAGATAATCGTATGAGTTTTAAGGTTGTTTTTTTAGTATATTCTTGTATAATAATGTTGAAAATTTGAATCTAAGTGATTGGAGAAGAAATCATCTGATTCTAGGTGAATTAGGGTTAGAAAACAGTAAAAAAATTCTCTGAATGATTTGGGAAGGAGCTGGCGCGCCAGAAGTTAGGTCCTGTAGTTTTGGCTCTGGGTATCCGCTTTCTTAGTGTTCCCTAACTTCCCTTTTGTAGTTCAGGGTCTAGCGCCCTGCGCCACTCAATGCGCCAGGGTCGCCAGGTCCTCTACCCTTTCTCACTTCTTTCAGTTTTAGTTCCCTTGAATCGTACCTATGTTTTCTTTATTTATGCACTCTTAGCTATGTCTAAACATTGAGATATCATCCATAACATGAAATCATAACCCTTGAATCCATAATTGAATTCAGGGTAGAAATAAGAGTCAAGTTTTAGAGAGTTCTTGGAGTCTTTTCAAATAGTCTTTTACAATTGTTTTAAACTTGTTTTAAGACTTATGCATTGAGTTTGAGGAAAATTACAGTCGTGTTCATATTCTTTGAAATAGTATATGGTAACTAAGTATTTGTAGGAATAAATATTTTCACATTTAAGGTGAGAGGAAACTCCGATTTTCAAAAGAGTTTTCATGAATAGTTTTAGTATGATCTCTTGTAAGAGAGAGATTCTTTGAGTAATAATATCAAATTATACGTTTTTACACAAATGAGATAGTTGTATTTTTGGAGTAGTACTGAGCATTGATATGGGGCCGATTTCAGATTACTCAGTCTCCATAAACCATGTAGACAATGTGGGTAGACAGGGTCATATTTTTAAGATAATTCCTTAATGTTAACTTATTTTGTATCATTATGCATAAAAGCAGAGTTCATGTTGTATTTTATTATACATTGAGTTGTTATTTACTTAGGGATGACAATGGAGCGGGGTGGGGTGGAGGTGGGGCAGATTTTAGCCTATGTGGTGCGGGGCGGATGACCTTCCATACGAGGCGGGGTAGGTGAAGGGCGAGTTCTAACAAATATTTTAAAATTTAAGCGGGGAGGGAGGCGGTGTTGTTTATTTATTTTGAACCAATTTATATTTTGTTTAACCAACATTCAACCATATTTATTAAAGTTTGAAATGACCACTATAAAGATTCATATGTTTTTGATTTAGTATTCTTCATAACATTTATAACAGTTAAATTTGTAAAC